TAATTGAAAAAACTAAAAAGTGTCCGTTAATTCCTGAATTGTTAAATCTTTCTTAAATTGGAAAAAGATGAATTCACTTTATGAATGCTTGCATTCTTTAAATTAAGAAAAAGCTTGATTTTTATTTTTGAATACGTGATGCTAATTCTGAATTCACTGACATTTTTATGTTGTTGTCAAGGAAATGAGCAATACACATAAAGCAGCATCAACAGCCATCACGAGTTTAATACTATATTAATATTTGCCCCTTACGGCTAGAAAAGAACCGGCTACTTGTTTCGGATGATAGTTTTATAGATTACTGCAGATATGTTTTAACAACAAAACTTATGATTTTATTCGAGTCGTTTTCTCTTCTTTTTACTGTTCTTTATCGTTGTTTCAGACTTATACTATTAATACTATAAGAATAGCATAGGTTAACCTCTACAGACCCCGAGTCTATAGCACATATCACACATATAATCCAGAAAATTCGTCTAAATTTCATCAAAAAGCGACCTCAGACCAGGTGCATATCGTCTCAACATAGAGACTAGTCCAATGGATATTACTGACAAAGATACGAAGTCAAAAACTTGTCATAAATAGCTAAAAAGAACGAAAAAATCAACAAATTCTTCTAGGTTTTCTGAAAACGACAGTATTGTAACTTTGAAACCTTTACAGCTCACTACGTTTGTTCTCTCCAGCTATCGTCGCTCGGACAGGGCTTGCTTTCCCCGAGCACGTGTCTATCTCCGAGCAGACATCTCTGGGAATCTCGAAATGCCATCGAATATACGTAATCGACTACGCTGAGCATAGTGGCAACATGTGGTTTTGTGTAGAAATGATAATAACTTCGGCAGATGCATTTTTGTGAAACCGTTTTTTCGCCTGTTACTAGCAAAAATTAATATCCTTATATCTCTATTAAATTTCATGCTGACTCAAGGAAATTTTTTTTTTTTTTTTTCATTCAAGGAAGGAAACAGACTTAAGCCCCCCCCCCCTCAGACATGGTGATTTTCGGTCAAAAAATCGGTTTTGAGATACGCACATGCAAAGATAGCCTGAAGTGTCTACTTCCAGAATCTGTATCGCTTTTCGTTACAAAAGTGTTTTTTCGGGGATTCTGAACACGTTTTCTAAGAGCCTCGAAAAAGCGGGTCTTCGAATAATGGTTTTTTCCTGGATACTTATACAATTAAAATTTTTCTGAAAACATAGCTTCGTAGAGCAAACGTTTCTGATCAAAATAAGACTGCGCACAACTCTGTATGACCTTGCGTCAAAAAGTTACAGGCATTTCCCTAGAGGTCCTAAAATCGAGCATTTCATACAGCGTTTTCACTATATAAGAGTTACACCTGAAGTACGTCCCAAGATTTTTAATAGCGGTCTGTCGTAGAGAGTTCATTCTTTTTTTGTTTTAGAGAGGAAAAGAAACTATATTCAACCTCTTTTATCTAGACCCAATATCAATTACTATACACTATTCGGCAGAGAATTTCACGGGCTACAAAATGATATATAAGAGAGCCTTAAGAAAATGTAACTGAGTAGTCTTAGCCCCGAAATACTCGATGGCTTCAAAGAATACCCCGTTCATGTCTGTAATAATGACTAATCTTCTCGTTAACCACTCCACTTTACTCCCACATTGATCAATAGTTGAGATACTTGGTCGATATAACGATTTTCACCTATCTTAGTGCTTTGAACACTCCGTTAGCCGTTTTTCTGCCATAATGAAAACTTATGTATTCTTCAAAAATTTTCCTTTGGATAGCTCTTGAAATTCTCTACAAAGTGAGCTGGCCACAATATCGAGACAGGTAGGGCCAGTCATTAAAGATTTGGAAGATAAGCTTTTGGGTGTTATCTAAGCAGTATAGTGTGTCATAATCACAAAAACTGCTTTTTTTTTTAGTTTTTAGTAAAAGCCGAAACCAATCTGCATACTGTTTGGAATACCCCAAAGATTTCTCTATCAGACGAGGTGCATATCACTCTTTCAAGAGAAAGGTGGATAATAGAGAACCAAGTCTTTGGTTTTTGGTAAGAAGATTTTTCAAACCATATAGTCTGATAGACCAAAGAGTTCTGAGTAAAATAACACATATCCCGATATTCCACAATGCGTTTTCACGCAACTGCAGTTTGTTGATCTGAATATAGTTGAAATATGGTTCTGTTTCTATTATTTATATTTTTCACAGGTCCAGTCAGTGTGTTGAAAACTATATTTTCATAGTTATAACCAATGATCTCGTTAGCATTTTGTAGAAATTCTTCGAAGCACCATGCCCAACAACGCGTTGGTAAGATTGTCTAGTTTTACTCACGTATGCATTATCACAATTCAGGCAGCTAATTCATTAAGCTAAATCAAACTGTGATAAGTTGAATATTTTATTTCCATTCAAAAGAAAAAATCCAAAAACAGTATGAGCGAAATTCACACTAATCGAAGAAACAAACTACTAAAAACTTTATTTCAAATTAAATAGAAAAGTAAAGATATCAAGTAAATAAGTAAGCAACAAAAAAAGAAAGAGGTAAAACGTACGTCATCATTCTGGCTGTTCTTTCATATAAGAATTCCTAGTACATGCAGACGAACTACATCGAACAGGCAAAGTATTGTTAGAAGAAAAACAGCGTTAACACTATTTGAATATGAATTGAACTGAAACTGTCACTACTTTTGCTGTTATTTAAGTTCAATAGAAAGAACCACTGCTATTACACTTCATAAGTCTTTGAATCTATCTAATCTAGTTTGTGTCTAAATTTTGACGAGTTTCAGCAACGTTCGATTTAAGTTCCGACACGACCATGAAGTATGAAATAATTGTAGTAAAAATCTGAAAGAACGACATTTGAATATTCTAAATACAAAGTTAAAAGATTAATAGACATTTACTGCAAGTACTGTTTCTTTTTTTAGTATCATTATGCCCCAGGTTGATATTCCAATTTCATCACTTGTAAGACGATTAAGTAACAACATCATCTAAAATAAAAGAGATGCAGTTAAGGCGAACTATGTTTATAACATTATTCAGCGATAGAACTTCATTATTGAAAGTTTTCATTAATCAGACACGTAAACAGTACTCTCGGCCATTTGAAAATATAGTGTAAGCGGCTATTTTTTGAATAATATTGATAAAAAGCGATAGAGACTTGTAATTCTTGGTTGCCGTTCGACAGAGGACACTTTATGACACGTATCTGCGCGGATCGACTTTTACTGGAAGTGTTCCTGACTATACAATCCAATCGATCAGTATCAATCGATGTATACTTTTCACATGTTTTCATCGGACATGTAAGCTCAGCATGGGTACCGTCATATATAAGGTTAAGAAAAAAGGAGGTAAGTCGCATAAACGACTGTCCTAAAATTCATATCAAGGAAAAGAGGAAGCGAAAAATATATTTACATACTTAGGAAGCATTTCAAAATTCTTTACGCTCTTAGTTCCTTCTTTACTCCTTTTCTACTGTATTCCTTTACCTTTTTCCTTTTTTACTGTTTTTCTGTTTTCCTCTTTTTTGCTGTGCATTAATCGCATCCCTATAAAAAAGGATTAATATGGCAGAGCCTGCTAACAAGGCTGCACATAGGTCTGCTCGTGAGAATTTTGTCTGCTGGAACTGAATGTGCAGGCTTGTTAGCAGGCTCTGCCATATTAATCTTTTTTTATAGGGATTAATGCACAAGCAAAAAAGAAGAAAACAGAAAAACAGTAAGAAGGAAAGCAGTAAAAGGGTAAAGAAGGAAAAAGGTAAAGGAATAAAGTAATAAAGGAGTAAAGAAGGAACTAAGAGCGTAAAGAATTTTGATATGCTCCCTTACTAGGTATGCATGGGTATCGGCATACCGAGCATCGAGAATATCGATATGACAAAGAGTAACCATCTGACTTAGTCCAAAGATCCAATTATCATACTAGTGTTGAAACTGAAACATTTTTAATGCCTTAAAAGGAATTAAGTTTCACATAAAAAACATGTTTCGTTACACAAAGTTGGAGAAGAGCAGGTTGCTGCCAGAGACTCGCACAATTACTTATTTTATTTTATTTTTTAAGCGTATCAGACATAAACGAAAGTCCTTTAATTTATTAAAGTGAATTGGTTATTTATTTCAACAGTCGCATCTTCGTTCTTTTCGATCAACAGATATATTGCGCTTTTCCTTCAAGACCTGAATTCAGACGTTGTCGCCAAGCATCAGTACTAATCAGTATCTCGATACCGGTACCGATACATATACCTAATACCTACCAAACAGTACTATTTTCTTAAAACGTTCGTAGTAGAACCAAAAAGTAACTCTTTAAGCTCTTTCTGTGAACCGTTGCAACCACAGTAAATTTGAAAATAAACTCGTGTACTACTGACTTTGACGTGTATGTTAGTGCCGTAAATAACGGGTGGGCTAATCCCATCCATTAGAGGCGGGCAAGTTCAAGTTCGGAGTTGAAGCCTTATTTGACGACCTTGAACTTGGGAATTTTTTTATCAAGTCCGTTTGAAAATCCAGGAAGTTAAAATCTAATACATTCAACAACGAAATGAATATAATCTTATAACTTACTTAATTTGTTAATCTTTTTTTGTCAAACATGCATCAATGTATGGATAAAATTTATTTACCCGTCAGATGTGATTATGACGTAGTATATAGTGCAGAAACTGGAATGAAGAACGTCGACTCGAATTTGGACTTAGAAGTACTTGAGCTTACCCATGTCTACCACGCACTAAAAATATTTTAGCAATTATTTCAGCCTAAATTTTCTTTTCTACATTATGAACTCTCACTGAACAAAAACACAGTATTTCAACAGCTTCTAAACCTGTTTACGGCAGTGTCCGCTCACTGCCGAAACCCTAGCTTCATCACTAGTGTATGCATTCCATATCAAAAGCTTTTTACTTAACTATAAGCGGTTTAGAAATTTTTTTTCCAAAACTCTAAAACCTTTGAAAATCGCAACTTTTATAGTTTGTTCTTAAACTGTTTGCCTCCACTTTACCCCAATCTGATTGTGACTCTTACTAACTCGAACGTTCACGCTTGAGTAAATAAACTTAAATTAAATTTAGCTGCGAAAGATGATAAAAAGAAATCAATTTAGATTAAGCTTAAATTGAATTACTTGTGTATTGAAATCAATCGAACATCCAGTGGCTGGTAACTGATGTAAATAAGTTAAAGATCCTCGAGTCTAAAAACGATACTCAAAACACATCATTCAAGCTGCAATAAAATTAAACGATTACTTACAACTGAATTTAATACTCCAGCTGTAGCCGATACGACAAAAACATAAAACATACTGCAAAATGCCCAAAAATTGACCATCACAATGAATAACGGTCCTAAATCTAAATCTAGTCGATGTGTCCACATCATCGCTATTATATACAACATGAGAAATGCCATAACAATATTGATACTTAGAGCGAGACTAACGTAGATTTGAAACGTTGAATCTAACGCATGAACAAGTTTTATTAGCCTACTATGAGACTGACGCCAATATTCAACCCGTTCTTGTGCATTTGACTGTTGAACTTCTTGTTTAATATATTCATTGAACTTTTCAAATTCACTGCATCCAATTAGACATAGAATGCAAAATAAAGTTGGTGGTAAAATCCAGGCTGCTGATGCATAAAAGTGTAATAAACAAATAAATAATTTATAAGGTATATTGTGTGTGATCGTCGATTTTTGATGAAAGGGTGTTAAGAACATTTGAAATACTTTCATATATTTAGATGGACCAAAGTAGGCAATTAATAATGCTAATGTATTTGATAGGATAGTAATCAAACAAAGTGTAATCGTTGAGTATATTCCAAATTTAAAGCGTTTTGATATGCCCGGTTGACATTTAATAAGTTTACAAAAATTATAATTAAACATAATTGTGTAAAATTTATTTCTCTGGTATGAACTAATAATGAATGTCGTATGTGAACAAGAACAAAGCAGTAACCATAATTGTGCAACAAGCGTTGTCATTAACAACGGTAAATACTGTTCAGCTTTATGTTTGAAATTAGTTAAGAAAAATATGGATATAAATCTTAATGTGTTGGACCATGATAAAAAGCAAACAAATATACAATAGACAAGATGTAATCGATTCTGTTTTTGTTTATCTGGTTTTGACGAATGTTCATAGTATAAACCAGTTAATTTCATCATAGCTAATAATGGTTTCAATAGAAAACCAATTGTTAAATCAATACTTTTAGACTCACGGACATCCAGCGTTTCTAACATAATACACATTGAATTTAAGCTTTTACCTAATGATGCAACATCATATTTTGAATATGGTTGTACATTCGGCCGTCTCATGTCTGTTCGATAAACTTAGACGTAATATACAAGTTAGACAACATGTCATATACTTGGGAATGATAACGTTTATTTCTTTTTCGTTAAACGTTGATTAATAATAGAAAGTAGACGTTCTCCTTCGTCTCTCCTTACATATCAACTTACATTCTGCTATGAGGAAAAATGTATTTTTTTCTTCTTTTTTTAAAGAAATATCAAGATAGTTTTTGACTCCTTTCGAACAGAACGAATAAGAGGAATTAGGGTCTAGTGCTGCTATTAACGTCATCTAGAAGATAAATTATGTTATTTTCATCAAACATGTCGTATGTTGTTATAAAAACACAAACAATTATTTTATCTGATTATCGATAAGTTCTTCTATGGTATAAACTATGCGAAGTATTATTGTTTCGTCGACAACTCACACCGCCCCTCCCGCCTCTGATGTTCTCTGATCTATATTCTTTGAGGTGGCCAATTTGTCGACGAAACGAGAATAGCCCAAACTATGCATACATCCCAAGAGAAACTAAAATTTGGAATTTTCCTAACTAAAGCTCTTTTCCTTTGCTTGCATTTCAAACCGCTAAACTGTGCCCGGGTCGCAGGAAATGAAACATAAATGAGACATGTATGGCTCATTTATGATATGAAGTGAAAATGATCATATTATGATCCTAAAATGATTTAAATATGAGCTTAAAATGATATCATATTTGTGCCATTTTGAGACCATTTCATAAAATGACATAAAAATGATGTATATGTAATATAATTTATAAAAATGATCTAAATATGATCCTAATCATCTAAAAATGATCTATTTATGTATCATTTTTATATAATATCTCTAGGATCCTAGATGTGACATTTATGTGCCATTTTTACATCATTTTTAACTTCTGATCTATAATGATCATT